ACTCTGTCTTGCTCTCTCACTCACTCATACTCTCGCTGTCTCCCTCTTTTTCTCTCACTCTCACTGACTCTCAATTGCTCTCTCATTCTCATTCGCTCTCATTCATTCACTCACTCTCACTCTCTCCCACTCCCACTCATTCACTCACTCTCTCACACACTTGTTCTCTCTCCTGCTCTCTTGCGCCCTCTCACTCACACTCTCTCGCTCTCAATCTTCTCTCGCTCACTGCTTCTCACTCTTAGACTTTCACTTGAACTCTCACACTCACTCTCTTTCTCTCATATTCTCTCTCTCTCTCTCTCTCACCCTTGCTCACACACTCACTCATACTCTCTCACACTCGCTCTGTCAGTGGCTCTCTCTCACTCTCTTGCTCTCTCTCTCTCTATCTATCTCAAGACTCTCACTCCATCAGTCTCTCCCACCATTCTCTGTCACTTTCTTTCTATGCCTTCACTCACTCTCACTTTCTCACTCTCTCACTTATTCACTCTTTCTCTCACTCACATACTCTTACATTCTCTCTCACTTGCTGTTAGTCACTTTCTCTCACACTTTGAATCGATCTCAGTCTCTCTCACTCTCATACTCGCTCACCCTCACACTTTCTCACTTTTACTCACTCTGTCTCGCTCACTCTCTCCATCTGTCACTCACACCATTATCTTTCACTCTCTCTCACTCAGTATCTAACTTACTGTCTTGCTCTTTCTCTCGCGCACCCTCACTCCTTCAATCTATCACTCACTCACTCCCACTCTTACCACTATCTTTTGCTCTCACTCTCACCAATATCTCTCATTCACTCACTCTCTCAATCTCTCTCTTTCACTATCCGCGCTCTGTTTACTTCTTTTTCTCTCACTCTCACTCTATTTCTCCCACTCTCTCACTCACTTGCTCACTGTCAGTCGCTCTTTCTCTCACTCTGTCTTTGAATTTCTCTCACTCACTCATAGTCTCTTGCTCTCTCTCTCACCGACTCAGTTAGTGTCTCAATCTCTCTCTCTCTCTGTCTCATGCTCTTCGCACTCTCTCCCTCACACTCTCTCTTTCACTCTATCAATCTGTCTCTCACGCAGTGTCTCTCCCATTGACTCACACACTCACACTGTCTTGTTCTTTCTTGCGCGCACTCTCTTACTCGCTCTCAGGCTAACTTTCATTATCACACTCACTTGTTCACACTCTCACTCACTTTCACTCTAACTTACTTTCTCACTCATGTTTTCTCTCTAGCTCTCTCACTCACACTCATTCACTCTCTGTCTCACTCACTCATGCTCTCTCTCACACTCTCTCTTGCTGTCTTGCTCTCACTCACTCTTTCCCTCTCTCACACATTCTCTCAATCTCTATCTCACTCTTGCTCTCCTGCTCACACACTCAACTCACTCATCTCTCCCTCTCTCTCTGGCTCTCACTTGTTCTTACTCTCTCGCCACTATCTCTTTCCCTCTCTGTCTCACTCACTCACCCCTAATCCTCTCACTCTCGCTCACTCTGTCTTGCTGTCACTTGCTCTCATTCGCTATCTCTCTCTCTTAACTCTCACTCACTCACATACGCTCTCACTCTTCTCTTAACTCTCACTCTCACGTTCTGTCTCATTCATGCTCTCCTGCTCTCACATTCTCTCACTCAATTTTCACTCATACTCTCCATCTTGCTCTCTCACACTCTCTAACTTGCTCTTTCTTTCGTGAGCCTTCACATTTTCTCACTCCCTCTCTTGTCGTGAGCCTTCACATTTTCTCACTCCCTCTCTTGTCGTGAGCCTTCACATTTTCTCACTCCCTCTCTTGCTCTCATACTTTCTCATTTGCTCTTTCTTGCTCACTCACATTCCCTCATACTCACTCACACTTTCTAGCTCTGCCTTGTTCTCTGCCTCATTCTCCTCTCTCTGTCACTATCTCAATTGCTCTCATTCTCACTCTCTCCTTCATTCTCTCGCTCATTCACGCTTTCTCACCCTGCCTTACTCACTCTCTCGCTCTTGCATTTTCTCTCTCTCTCATTCTGTCTCTGTCACTCTCTTAATCTCTCTCTCTCTCTCACTCAATTTTTCTCACCCTCACACTCTCTCACTCTCAGTCACTAACTCTCACACTCACTCTCTTGTTCTTTCTCATTCTCTTACTCACTCGTGCCTTCTCACTGTCAGTTGCTCTTTCACTCATTCTGTCATACTCTTTCAAACTCTTTCTCACTATCTCTTGCTCTTTGTCTCATTCACTCAATAACTCACTTTCTTGCTCTTGCTCACTCACTCCGTCACACACTCCCTCTCACCACTATCTCTCGTTCTCTTTCTTGCTCTCTCTTCCGCCCTCACTCTCTCACTCGTTCTCACTCACTCACACTCACCTCTCATGCTCGCTCTCACTCTCACTGTTTCACTGTCTCACTCTCTAACTCACTCTCACACCCTCACTCACTGTCTCTCACTCTTAATCTCTCTCACTTTCCCACACATTCTCACTTTTTCACTCATTCTTGCTCTCTTGTTCTCTCACTCGCTCTCTAGTTCTCTCTTGTGTTTACTCACTGTTTTTCTATTATTTACTCTCTCGCTCTCTGTCACTCTTTCTCACACACTCTTGCTCTATTTCTCACTCTCTCATTCTCCCACTCACACCCTCACTCACTCATACTGTCTCACACTCTCATTCACATTCTTTTATTCACACTCATTAAACTGTCACTCACACTCTCCTCTGTCTTGCTGTCTCACTTTTCTCGCTCTCTCATTCTCTCTCAGGCTCAGTCTTACTTACATTCTCACTCTGTTACTCACTCTCTCTTTCCCCCATCCTCTCATTCTCTCCCATCCTGTCACTCAGTCTCTTTCTTACTCATTCACTGTCTCACCCTTACTCACACTCTCTCACTAATACCCTCACTCACGCTGTCTCGCTTCCTGACTTGCTCTCACTCACTGTCTCTCACACTCACTTTCTAACTTGCTCTCTCCATTGCTTTCTCTTGTGCACTCTCTCACTAACTTATTTTCTCAGACTCTCTCTCATTCACTCACACTCTCTCACTTACTCTCACTCACACTCTTTTATACTCTCTCACTAAGACTCTCGATTTCTCACTTGCTCACTCTCACACTTACACTCTATTTCTCTCTCTCACTGTCATTCTCTCTCTCATATGCCCTCACTCACCCTGTTGCTCACAATTTCTCACACACACATGCTTTGTCTCTGTCTCTGTCTCACTCACTCACACTCTCTTGCTCTCCCCCTCTCTTACTTGCTCCTTCACTCTCCCACTCACTCTCTTACTCACACTTGCTCTCTCAAGCTCATTCTCAATTCACTTTCACTCTCTCCCACTCACTCTTTTCTTCTCTTTCTGTTTTGCACTCACTCTCTTACACTCTCTCACTGTCTCACTCTCATTCTCACTCCCTCTCCCTAACTCTCATTCACTCTCTTACTCATACATACTCACTAACACTCTCACTTTCTCACTCAGTCTCTTACACACACTGTCTCCTATTATCTCTCACTCTCAGTCACTTTCTCACTCACCCTTACTCTCTCCTATTCTCTCTCTCAATCTCACACACTCACTTTCACTCTGTCACTTGTTCTCTTGCTCTCCCCACTGTCTCACTCTCTTATTCTCACTTTCACGCTCTCTCTCAAACTCTCTTTACTCATTCACACACTGTTACTCACACTCACTGATTCACTCTCTCCTATACTCCCAGTTTCACTCACCCACTCTCACTCACTCCCTTTCTCATTTACTCATTCACTCTCTATCTCTCTCTCTACTCATTCTCTCTCTCTCCCTCCCTTACTCCATCTTGTTCTCTCAATCTCACTTTCACTCATTCACTCTCTCACTTTCTCTGTCTCTGACTCACTCTCTCTCTCAGGCTCTCTCACACTCACTCCCTTCCTCACTATCTCTCACACTCACTCACGGTCTCACTCTCTTTCTCCTACTCTCTCTCACTCACCCTCTCCCACTTTATCTCTGGCTCTCACTCAGTCACACTCACTCCTTCACTCATTCACCCTCTCATATTGTCAGTCTCTCACTCACTTACACTCACTTACTCTCTCTTACTCTTAACTTCTCACTCTCTCTCATTCCCTTACACCCTCCCGCTCACTTGCTCTCTCACTCACATTTCAGGTATAAAAGGAAAGCAAAAAGCTGCCAAACAAGAAAGACATTTCCCAAAAGAAGCATGACCATCCTCAGCCACAGCCAAGACAAGAGCATCACCTTCAGAGCTGAGGGGAGGACTGCAACCTAGGGGGGCTGCAGGGAGAGAGCTGAGCAGTCAAAGTGGATGGGGTGGGGAGAGCGTCCCTGCAGCCCAGCATCCTCACTGGTTATACTGAGGCTGCTCTATTGGCTTCTCCCACTTCCCCCTTACACTTAGGCCTTTGGAATCCCAAACTCCTAAAAAGGCCAGCTCAGCTAGGATTTCCGCATTCCATCCTCGACCAAAAACCCTAATCACCTGTGCTTACAGAAACCCAATCCTGTAGCCAGGAGTCTCTGAGAGCACTCCTGTGAGCTGGCCCAGGAGCCCCAGTCAGGCTTGTTCTGGCTACAGAGTGCTCAGTCCTGACTAACAGGGCCATTTGCTGTGCATAAAGTGATTGATTCTCAGGCCATTTCAAGGTCTCACACTACAACTCAAGTAGAAGACGGCCTCTTCTGCAGATAGGAAAGCAAGACAGAAAGGCCAGGTGACTGGCCTCTGCTAGTGAGTAGTGGAGGTGGGATACAGACTCTGGCAGCCTGACCCAGCGGCCAAGCTCCCAACCAATGCTCAGACCTCAGACCTCCCCCTGACAGCCCTTCCTTGGTGAGTCCTGGTTCAGGACGCATGGACAGAAATGGGAGCCGATACGGGATGTTGGCCAGGTCCAAGGTCTATGCAGCTTCCTCAGAGGCTGCCCTCTCTACAGTCTGCTGAGGGTCCCTGTACACCACCCCTAGTCCCACACGGCTCTCACCTGCCGATAGATCTTGCCCTTTTCCAGGCGGGTGATCCGGTCCCACTGGAGCGAGCCCTTTTCATCGAGTTTTCTGAAAGGCCTGGTTAGGAGTGGTGGTAAAGGGCTTGATTTCTAGTGTTGTGTGGCTGCAGGGCCGGCATCCTCCCTGCTCCCCAATAAGGCCCACCAACTCAAGGGGGCGTCATTGTCCTCACCCGAAGCACAGAGGCTAGTAGGCTGGCCTAGTACTTCAGCCCCTCACCAAGGGTCAGGGCCTCCCTTCCCCCTCCCAGGTCCCACTGCCCTGGACTAGCCCAGAGCCATACTTGCGCCGGTCGGTGAAAAAGCTGGGTTTGTCCGCCTGGACGATGACCACATCGAAGAGTTGGCGCCAATCGGCACCCACCATGTGCCTCATCCCTTTGTCCCTGTGCAGAGGTGGGCAGGCAGTAGGTGGTCTGGGTGGCTCTGTGCTTGTCCAACACCACCCAGGCCCCAGTCCTGTAGCCCCTCCCACAGTGAGGCTTGACTTACACAAAGCTGAAAGGGCTGTTGGTGATGAGGAACAGCTGCTTCCCATGATTTACCAGGCGGCTGAGGACAGCAAATGTTTCATCTCCTCTCAAGATATATTTCTCTATTGGGGTTAGAAGACAATTTGTGAGGGCCATACCTACCTCCCAGCTCAGACAGGTTTTGGGGTGAGGCTACCGTCCACCCTTACCCATGTCCCGCTCGATCCACTGGTACATGAGGCCCTTCACGTGCACATCTCGGATAGCGTCCTGGGGGCAGCGGGGGACGGTGAGGGGACAGCGGGGCCCTGGGCTTGCCCTGCTGTGGCTGGATGTCACCTCCCTGCCATCCCCCTGGGACGTCCCGGCAGCCTCACCGTCACATCCTTGTAAAGGTGCGCCTGGTCAAACTCCAGGCCATGACCCAGGAAGTGGTCCACCACACAGGACAGCAGTGCCATCTCCGGGAGTGAGAAGATGTCCATGAACTGCTTGATGGAGGGACCCTGGGAAAGGACCGCCATCTCAGCAACCCCTCATCCATCACTCCCAGAGCTCAGAGGCTCTGACTCTACCCTGGGACACTGGCAGAGGGTTTAGCTGTGGGCCAGGACTGCCCGTCTGCAGGGAGAGCACAGAACTGGGCTGTCTGGGCAGCAGCAGGTAAAGCGAGTACCTTGCCGTAGAAGCCGCTCATCTGGTAAAGTGGGATGTGCTGGGTGCCCCCGTAGAGGTCAATCACTTCCTCATCTGGCACGGGCTGGAGACCCCTAGGTGGGTGCACTCACCGTCAGCCAAAAAGAGTTTTGAGCCCAGGCCACAGCACAGGTGAGGTAAAGCAGCGTGCTCAAGGAAGGGGTGGGGCTGATAAGTACCGACCTGTAGGCAGTTCCCAGCTGCACATAATGGAAGGCGTCAATCTTCATCAGAAGGCTCTGAGCACGAGGGAGAGACGGGACACGTGTGGAGGGCCTGTAGCTTGGTAGCAGCCTACTGCAGCCCCCATGCTCAAACTCCAATGGGATCGTGTGCATAGGAGGAGGAAGCTATGGTTTTGGGGCCAAGGAGGTGGACATATTAGGGGACCCTCTGCAGGAGTGGGTGAGGCGCTAAGGACAGAGCCCCTCTACACAGTCAGTCAGGGGCCTGGGAGTCAGTGGTTCAAACACTCACCTTCTGGATATCATAGTGGAGACCACGGATAGCAAAGTTGGGGTTGTAGTCATACTTCCGAATCCCTTCTGGGTACTGTTGGGAGAATGCAGGCTGGGCCTGAGCACGTTACACTGCCAGACTTGCTGGCTGAGTAACCACCCACCCAGGGTAGCTGCTAGGCCAGGGGACCAGGGAAGCCTCATGACCCAGCCTGGGATTATATCAAGTTGGCCTTGGGGGTGTGTAGGTATGGGGTCTGGACCACCTCCAGGGTGGCATGGGCCCCCTGCCTGGCTCGCCTCACCTTGTAGTGCTCTATCAGGATATCCCGAGCAGCACCGAATATCTCAGGGTGCAGAGCATCTGCATACTGGGCCAGTGTGTAGTCGTAGTCAAAGCCGTAGACTTCAACATCGCTCAAGCTGATCTCGTTGTTAGCATAGACGGCCGCTGGGTTCAGTAGACTGCAAACCTCAGGGGGCAGGAGGTCTAAACAATTGAGATGCATGACAAGGATCAGAGCAACAGCAGCAAGTGGTTATTGAGGACTTCCAGATGCCCAGTCCTGTGAGCCTCACAGAACACCTCCAACGATGGATTGAAGATGACCAAACAGGCTTAGAGCAGTCACCTGCTCAGGGTTACATAACCAAAGTAAACCAGTGCTCCACAACCCACCTGGGTTAGACCACTCTCTGCAGCCTAGCAGAGGAGCTTAGTCCATTCTCTTCCAGGTCGTATGGCCCACCTGTGGCACCACTCAGACCCTGGCAGCATCCTTCAGGAAGTCACGCCAGCTCATTGCCCGGCCCCAGAGCAGCTGTCCTGCGGACTGTCTTTTGTGTGTACTCTGCCCCTCTGCTCAGATCCTTTCCTGAGTACCACTGGCTCTCCACAAAAGACCTGGGAGAAAGACTCCACCAACTGGCCTCAGGCCCCAACCTCCTTGGTGTTCAAGTGAAGGGTGGTGTGGGGACTGAGGATACCAGCCTAGAGGCTGTTCAATTTGTCTTGACTAGACTGGGGGTTACCGCCATGGAAGCTGCCTTTCTACCTTGCCTGGAGTGGAGCTCGGGCACAGGAGTTGGATGGGGTACCTGCGCAGCCTCTCAGGCTGCCAGCTCTGAAGGCTGGCACAGCCAGGGGAGTGAGAGCCTTCTAAATTGGATTTTCGCTGCCTGCCAGCCCTTGTAATGACATTTGCTGGCTCTGGCCAGGGAACATTGCTTAATTACGACAGGTGGAACATGTGATGTTGGGTTCTGGGATGTAACAAAGCTTCTCCTTTCTGAGGATGTGGTCAAGCCCCCTCAAACCTGTCTGTTCTAGAGGGCTAAAGTTGGCTCTGAGGCCCACAGGAGAGCACTATACAGAGTGGTCTCTGGAGTCCCAGTGAGGCTAACGACGTAGAGGGGCCTCCAGACTCACCTGTCTCGGTTTCCCCAATGGAGGAGGTAGATGGGAAGAGGGAGTGTAAGGGCATGGGTTCTAAGGTCAGATAAACTAAATCGCATAGCCAGGTCCCCCACCAGCTAAAACCTTAGGAAAATTACCTCACCTCTTGGGTCTCAGTTTCATCTTTAAAAATGGAATACAAACTGTCACAACCCACAGAATTAGTAAGAGGCCCTATGCATTACAATGAATTACTTAATACAGTATTCTAACTATAGTCTTTGTTAACTCCCATTAAATGACTAGGTGGGACAATGCAAATGAGGTGCTTGTGGTCCACCAAAAGGACTGGATGGCCTTTCTAATACTGCAAATAAGGTTCATGGCAACCTTATGAGGGTGTTACAATGCAAATAAGATATATAGGGATGGGTGAGATTTGCTAACCCGCTAGGCTTAAAACGAGCCACCCCAGAAGTGGAGAGTCACTACCACCAAAAATGGAGCAGGGTGCGTCCTTTGGACACCTTGCAATGAGAAGCTCCTAAACCCACGAGACAGAAAGTTGTAACACTGGAGATGGCAAGATACAGGAGCAGAGAAACAGTAGCAATAGAGGCATCAGAATCCAGAGACCAGATGATGAAGTGGGCTTCAGGAGAGCTGAGCACCTTCAGACCAAGGCTTATTGGTGGAGTTGGGTGCTTCCGGGCATTTACTGGAAGAGTTAAAAGAGCTTTGTAACACTTGTCCAAGCAGGGCAGAGGCCAAACTGGCCCAAGGGGCCAAGGGCTAGAGAGAGGGCTACCTGCAGCAACAGCTGAAAAGAGGTTGTCCTGATTAAAGAACTCTATCCCGACTCATTTCTGATCCTGAATTGTAACCTGTTACTTACTGAACTGTAAGAATTGTTAATGAGCCCTGTGTGGCCACTGCAACGCATTATTAAACCTAGCACACAAGGAGAGTTCTACGGAGAGATGGCTACAGTCAGAACTGGTAAAGAGGTTGGAGGGTTGAGGTGTGTCTAACCTCCACTTCATAGAAACCAGCCTTGGGCTGTTGATCTTGAATCTTTCTCCCTCTTGTGAAGTTTGAAGAGGTCACATGACTTCCTCATGCCATTTTGTACACCCCATGGAAGGTGCTCTGTGCAACACTCCTGCTCTGCACCTGTGGTGCATATGGGATGAATGAGTGATTCATTTTTTGAGCCCATGACCTTCCTTACTCTGGTCTCCCAGACTTCACACAAGGAGAAATGGGCTGTAGGGAAGGAGAAGGGAGCAGACAAGACTAGGTGCCCAGTGCACTGCTTTGTGAAGTCCTATTCCTCTAGCCTATGGTGAACATACCAGACCAAGGGCCAAATAGCCGGACCCACCAGGCAATTCCTCTAAGTTACAGTCAAGGAAGGAGCAGGAGAGTTCCTGGCCATTCAGAGTGCCTAGGCTCAGAGGCAGACTCTTGTTGATGGGCTCCCATGTTTGGGGACAGTTGCCTCAGAGGTCTCTTTGGAGCACAGGTCCCCCTCCCAACTTTCTTTCCTAGCTATGTGGAGGGTGTGGCCGGGGAACAGGTGTCGCCGGTTCCTCTGGCAGCCCTAGGCTGGTATGGTAGCTGCTCTGCAGATCTGTGGGGTGTGAACAGAACACTCCACTTAACTGTATGTGAAACAGTCAACTTCATCCCTCTAGGGATCTGGACCCTAGACACTGATGTCACTAGGACCCTGAACCTTGCCCTTCCTACAATTTTAAGCTCCTGGGCACCAACTCTAGGTGCAGGGTCCAGCAATCCTCCCGGATGGGAGTGGTCTACTAGGCAGTACAGTTCCTTGATGCCACAGATTTTTGGCAGAGTCCTGGCAAGTCCAGGCTTTTGCTTCTGCCCTTGAGGATGTTCCCACAGACCAGGAATAACGCAGGGTGGGAAGCAGCCCCCAGGTTCTGTCCTCATGATCTGATTTCTTAACTGAGAAAATCACAGCCCTGGAACTCCCAAAGTCCTACTCCTTTCCAGTCACTGCCCTCCTTGTCCTCAGCCCCTAGTACTTGGCTAGTCCCATGCTACCAGGTTCCAGGCCCAATGGTAGCTATGAGACTTAATTTGGGGTGTTGTCCTCACAGTTGCTGCTTACTGGCATTTGCCTTGCATGAGCCTTGGAGACTCATCTTGTTCAATCCTCATTGTGCTTCTGAGGTGGTTACACGTATTCCTTCATCAGAGGAGAAAACTGGGACTTAAGGAGGTAGAGTCACTTGATCCAAACTACTAACATACCAAACCAAACTCACTGTTGTCAAGTTGATTCCAACTCAGTGACCCTATATGACAAAGTAGAACTGTTCCTTAGGGTTTCAGGTGGTGGTTATGTGCCATGGAGTCGGTTCTGACTCATAGCAACCCTGTATAGGGTTTCTGAGGCTGTAAATCTTTTGGGAGCAGAAAGCCTCATCTCTTGCCCGTGGACCAGCTGGTAGTTTCGAACTGCTGACCTTGAGGTTAGCAGCCTGACTCATAACCACTACACTCAGAGATTGTGTAAATCTTAACAGGAGCAGCCAGCCTCTTCCTTCTCCTCTGGAGCAACTCGTGGGCTTGAACTGCTGACCTTACAGTTATCAGCCCAATGCTTAGCCCACTGTACCATCAGGACTCCCTGAGCTATCAGCAGTAGGTAATGGAGTTTGCAGGCTCTTAATTGCCCTGTTCCTCTGTCTAGCCTCTCAATGTTCCCATACTGGGGCTGGGGTGTCGGGGGATAGAGAGGGGCAAGTACTGGTTGGGGGCTGCTGCAGTACTTTCTCAGGGCCCAGTGGCTGGCACGGGACATAGCTCTCTGGCAAAGTTTTGCCACAGTTGAAGGTATATCTTGATGATCAGGATCTCTTCCACAAACCTAGTTTGAGAGGAGGGGTTAGGGGTGTAAGACTGGCTCATCCTGGTCCTCACAATAGCATCTTAGTAGAAACTACTTTGTCCCTTGTATACCAAGAAGAGCTTAGGGGTCTTTGGGAAGATCCAGACTCTGGCTGGACCCTGGAGAACAATGCCCACTAGACTGCCCACGGCCCTTCCTCCACACCTGTAAGGCAGGCTTCTCCTGGCCCAGAGCACCCTAGCTCTGTTCCCTGTGAGAGGCAAGGAAGGCCCTTGTAAGCTGCAAGGTTTGTTATTAAATGTTGTCAAATTAGTTCCAACCCATAGTGACCATATTTCTTAAGAGTGGCTGGTGAGCTTGAACCACTGACCTTGTGATTCAAGCTCAGCGCATTAGCCCACAGCGCCATACCAGAACTCCAAACTGCAGAGGTGGGGAGCCTTTATAATGTCATTCACAGGCCATACAAAATTATCAAGTTAAAAAATTAGCCTGCTATATATTTGATCAAACATTCAATTAACTGTAGGACAAGCACTGGACTGCAGTCCGTTTGGACATTTCCCACCCTTTCGTAAAGGCTCAAGGACTTTAAAAGAGCCACTAGTCAAATCTCCTCATGCTGAAGTGAAGCCCTCCTTCAGTCGGTATCTGGGGCCAACACCTCTGGGGCGCAGGGGCTGGAGAAGAGCTTTCTTCCAGATAAGGCTACTTTGCCTTGTAACTTAGGGGGCTGCTCCGGAAACTCCTTGGGTCAGCATACTATTTTACGCCTGAAGACACTGAGGATCCCAGAGGGCAAGACTTGCTGAAAGGGCCAGCCAGCTGGACAGTGATACAGTCACCACACAAATGACATCTATCCGCTGCAAAAGCTGGGCACCAAGTCAACATCCAGACGGTGGACAAAGTTGGGTGGCTCTCGGGCTCACTAGTGGTCCTCCAGCCTGTCTAGTCTTCTGAGGGGCGACCATGACCCTTATCAACCCATTTTGCAGAAAAGAGGGGGTGAAGCGTTCTGGCCGAGGCTGCAGATTTCAGGGGGTAGTACAACTTGGTCTCCAGCTTCCAACACCTCCGAGCCGCGAGTGTTCACCGCACGGCAGTCTGTTCAGGTCGAGCTGTCCCCAGAAGGCCGCTCTGGCCAGCGCCCACCACTGGCTTTGCCTATTATTCCCGCCCCAACTAAGGGCCCGCCCGCAGAAAACAAGGGGCTGGGGGCGTGTCCGCCAGGGCCAGCAGACTGGCGGCACCGGGGAGGCGAAGGAGACTGCCGCGGCCGCTCAAGGAGCCCCAAGCTCTTGTCCGCCTTGGGGCACCGGGGCATTTCACGGAGACTCAGGACGCCCCAGGGCGACCTGCAGGAGCGTCTCCGGAAAGCAGCTGGCCCTCGAGCTCTAGGGCCCTGGCGAGATCCCCAAAGGGGGCGCTTCATTCGAAGAGCGGATCCTAGAACGGCGCCTCAGGGGCTGTCCCCAGGCGCTCCGTTTGTCCCTCGTGCGCGCCTTTCGCTGCATAGGATCCCCTCCCCGTACAAGCCCCGCTTGGCTCACCCACCGTGCACCAGTCTCCTCATGTCCTGGTAACGAGCCCACAGGTGCGCGCTAGGGTCAGTGCCACCAGCGGGCGCGAGGTTGAGCACAGGGCGCGTGCCGCCCGGGCAGGGGACCCCGGGACCCGGAGGACCGCAGCCAGGGCAGGAGGACGAGGACCAGGCTGCTCGTGGCCCGCCGTTACCTCCGCACAACATCCAGCGCCAGGCTGTCGTCCGCAGCCCCGCGCCCGCCATGCCCGCCGCCCGCGCTGTCCTCGGCCAGTCGGCCAGTCAGCCACCCTCCGACTGAGGGGCCGCCACCGTGGCCGCGTGGTCCTCACTGCTACCGGCCAATGGACGCGGCTCGCGGAGCTCCGTTGTCCAATGGGCGTGCTACTGGGGGGTGGGGGCGGGAGGTCCCGGGACCCAGAGGGGCGGGGCGGGCTTCCCGGCCCCCTCCCCCAATCCCTGGCGCCGCGGGAAGGACTCTGCGCCCCCTTCGGCTTCAGAGGCCGCCATGGCAGCTCCTTCTCCTGACCCCTGCCCGGGATGTCTGAGGGCCTGAGAGTCGTCGTCCCCGCGAGGTCCGGCACGGCCGGGGTGCGGAAAAGAATGAGCTGGAACGCTGAGGGTCCACACCGTCTCGTGTGGTCGCCCGACTTCAAGTCCTCTTGTCCTCTCAGTTCTGATTCTCTTTCGGAGAGTCCTCTCTCCTCCAACCTCAGGTGAACTGCCCTGGATCCGTGCCTGGGGTGCTTCACACATCTATTTGTCCAGCGAATAAAGAGCCCTTCGCTGGAGAAGACCCCGAGACCTGCAGGGTGGCCGAGGTCCTCCGGAGGCATCCCGTCTCTTTGCCTCCTTGTGTTATTGTTGTTGTTAAGTGCCGTCGAGTCGGTTCCGACCCATAGCGACCCTGAACAGGGTTTCCGAGGCTGTAAATCTTTACGGCAGCAAAAAGCCTCGTCTTTCTCCCTCAGAGCAGCTGGTAGTTTCAAACTGCTGACATTGCAGTTCGCAGCCCGATTGGTAACCACTACGCTACCAGAGCCCCTCCTAATTAGATCACGTCTTAGGCTGGGAGCTCCTGTGCCGCATAATTCTGACCGCAGCAAAAGGCCACGCCGACCTGGCCAATTTGGCGCTTCTCTGTACACGCCCCCTTGTGAGATGCAAGGTCTCTTTCACTGTCGTCACACTTTCCTCTGAACTACTCTCCACCCTCATTTCTTCTACACAGATCCGTTGGTTTTGTTTTTTTTAACCGACACAGTAGGGGGCAGGAAGGGGCTGTGCCGATTTCTGGAGCTGGCCAGCTAGGGCATCCTTTTGTTTCCTTGAGGTGCTCCGCAGGGTGGCCCCACCTGTGTGTACATGAAAAGCTGCAATGCACCTTACACTTCTGTGGACACTTATAGTGTGCTGGACCCTGGGCTACCGAGGCCAAAAGGTGGGCTGTGCAGACAACCCCACTGGGCTAGGCGAGTTCTAGAGACCTTGGACCATGAGAGCCGCCTCAGGGAGGGAGGGAGGTAGGTGCGCTTCCGCGTCTGGTTCAGAGTCACCAGGAGAGAAGTGGGAATGGATGTGTGGATGGGGAGGAGAGGCCCCATGATCCAGGTGGTGTCTCAGCACCCAGTTCCACGACCCTTTAGAGGCCCTGCTTGCCCTCTTCTCTTCAGCCTGTAATTGTCTTTTGGATCCACATTATCAAACCCTTTTACTGGTTCTAAGTTTCCATTTGATTTTCTTTTGTTTACTAATATTTTGCCCCCCTTCTTACAGCTGCTTCACAGTTAGATCATAGGTGACAGTCCCTTAGAGACATCTTCAACAAGCACAGTAAGAAAGTGAAGAGGGAAAGCTCTACTTGGCTTACCTCTTAACCTCTCACTATGAAAATAGCCAATGTTCAGGAATCCATGTAAACAGCTAGGGCACAGTGTTGTTAAGTGGGGTTCCAACCCATAGTCACCCTGTATAGCGTTTCCAAGAAGCGCCTGATGGGTTTGAAGCACCAGCCTTGTGCTGCTCCAGCCCTGTGCTGCACAGCAAATTATTATTATACAACCAAGCCAAACCTGCTGCTATGGAGTCCATTCCCATTTTTAGTGGCCCTATAGAACACAGTAGAACTGCCTCATATGGCTTCCCATGTAAGTGGACTGCTGCATCTTTCTTCTGCAGAGCAGCTGATGTGTTCCAGCAACCAACCCTCTGGCTAGCAGCTGAGCACTTAACCACTGTGCCACCAGGGCTCTGTGCTCAGTGCTTTACATCCTAAAAATGATTTAGTGCTTTACATTCCTAAATCCTCACAGCATCAAAGAAAGTTGCTATTAGCCCGTTTTATGGGGTAAGGAGCTGAGACACAGCTTGAGGGAGCATTGTGGAGCAGTTTGTAATATGACAGCAGAGCCAGGGAGCCTGTGTTCTTCAACCATCATGCTCTCCTGCAATTATTATGAGTGAGATGGTACATAAGGACTTCAAAAAGCTCATGCAAGAATTCCATTATATTTTAATTCCATTTTCCCACAAACTTTTTGAAGCTCCTCATATCAGTAAGTGCTCTACGTTGTTAAGCGCCTTCAACTATGTATAGGGAGGGATTGGTGGGTTTGAACCACCGACATTGTGGTTAGCAGTCCAGTGTTTATCCAATGGCGCCTCACCAGCCTCTACAGAGGGTAGTTATATATTTTTAATGTTGGGAGTTTTTGTGCTTTTATTTAGACTTTTGTTGTGATGATGGTGGAATTCAGCCTTCAACACCAATGCATATCAAATTCAATTATTTATAAGACTAGTCCCTAATCCTGGATTCCTGGTGTGGCACTGCAGGATCAGCACAGGACTTCAATCCACAAGATAGGCAGTTCAAACCCACCAGTTGCTCCTTGGAAACCCTATACAAACAAGGTCGCTGAGTCGGAACGGACTCAACGGCACTTAACAAGTCACCATAAGCACTGGATTGCAAACCTCAGGTTCTGAGGTCAAACCCACCAGCTGCTCCTTGAAACCCTATACATGGTCACTATGAGTCGGAACAGACATCATGGCACTTAACAACAGCAGCAACCAGTCATATCCCGGAATCAAACGCAATGCGTTGCATACTTGCATTTTAGAGTATGGTGAAGTATACATTTAGTCCATCAAGGAGGACTGTTACATCTACCACGGTATTTGGAAAGAAGATGGCGGTTCCAAGGTAGGGGGCGCGGCCGCCAACTGCACGCACTCGCCCGGGTTGGGGAGACCGGGGGCGGGGCCGGCCCCACGTGGGCGGTTCCGCTCCCCCCACCTACCTTTGGGCCTTCCTACCTTCAGAGTTCAGGCGCCTGCGCGGGTTCCCCTCAGTCTCGGTTTGGCCTTACGGAGCAAGCGCGCCCTACTGCAATTTGATTGGCGAATCCGCGCATTCCCCGCCGCTTCCTGATTGGCGAATCCACCCCCAGTGGAGCGGTGCGGTAGTGTTTGGCTGCGCCGCGAGGGCTCCGGGCAGGGTTGCTTCAACCTGGCGCCCTGGCGCACCAAACCGGCTAGGAGCGGTTCCAGTTACTCCTGGTGCATCTCCAAAATCCCGACTGAGCATGTTCTCCAGAGTCCAGGTGAAGCGAGTTCTGCAGCGCGTTCCTGGGAAGGAGCGATTCGGCATCTACAGGTTTTTGCCATTCTTTTTTGTTCTCGGAGCAACGATGGAGTGGATCATGATCAAAATGCGCGTCGGAAAGGAGACCTTCTGTAAGTGGGGCTGAGGCAGCCTCGGTTTCATTTCAGGGAGGCAGCAGGGGGGCCGTGTTCCTGGGTGTATTCTCAAAGGTTGCAGACAGCTCCCCCGAGCTAGCCTCTTTTACCGGTGTCGGAAGGGCAAGTGCAGTTCTTTTAGCGTCGTCGTGGACACCAGCCCGAGCTCATGTAAGTTGGCGATAAAGGCACATTGACGCCCAACCTTGAGACCTTTACTGCCCTTGAGAGGCAACCTTTGTAAACCTGCCTTTCCTGCACACGCTGGTGGCAGTTTTGCTTCCAAGGAACGGACTTCCAAAGGGATGGGTCCTGAGAAACGCCTGCTAAATGCTGGTCAAGTCCCCTCTGGACTCTTTTGTCCAAACTCCAAAGGAGCTTGTCTTCACATGGGAGTCAGTGGTCTTCACAAGGTCCTTGGCCCTTGGGTCAGATGCTCAGCACTTTGAAGAAAATGCCTGGCATTGCCTTGCTGAGCACTTCTTTAGGTAAGACTTTTCCCAACCCCAAGGCCCATTCAATGGATTCCTGCTGTGGTGCTGTAGGATAAGCAAGGTCAGGGGTTCAAACTCACCAGCGACTCCATGGAAACCCTATTTAGGGTCGCTGTAAGGATTTCTGGTAGTGTAGTGGTTTCGAATAGGGCTGCTAACTTCAAGGTCAGCAGTTCGAAACTACCAGCCCTTCCGTGGGAGAAAAATGAAACTTTTTGCACCATAAAGATTTACAGCCTTGGAAACCCTATTGAAGGGTCGCTGAGTCGGAACTGACTCCAACGCATATTAACCACCACCGCCACCAAGAGTTGGGAACGACTGGATAGCACTTAACAAGAAGACCTATTCAAACGCTGTATCTTGTTGGAATTGCCAACCTGCATTAAAAAAGAAAAAAAAAAAAAAAATTGTAATGCGCCATTGAGTTGATTCCTACTCATAGCAACCCTGTTCATCCGATCATAAAATTTAAGTAACACCTATGGGAGGATAAGTCCTTGGGTGCTAACTGAAAGGGTGTAGGTTCGAGTCTTTATAGAGGCGCCTCAGAAGAAATGCCTGGTGATCCCCTCTAAAAAACCAGCCATAGAAAACCATATAGAGCACAGTTCTACTCTGACACACAAGTTGCTATGAATTAGCTTAGTAAAATGATAAAAAAATGAGCCAGGCCAGAGGGTCCTCCACTCCTGAAGGGGAAAAACTTCCTAAAGACCATAAAGTTTGATCATGTTGTGATGGGGAAGTAGGAGTGGGACTTAGCAGTCTTGGGTGGGACACCCCAGCTGACTAGTAGTACTGTAAAGGCAACCTGGAATAGTTAATTGTATTAGCCAGGAGCTGAAGAGCCCTTCAGGTGGACAGTGCTGTGTTTGAAGGACAGGCTGGTGAGCATAGTGGGGGGTGAAGTGGTTAGAAAGGTGCTTAGGTAAGTTCCACAAAGGCACTGGAGAACTCAGTGTATATAAAGGGCTCTAGGACATGAACATGTCCTGGAGAATGGCTCCTTGTGGAGAAGAGATTAATTAGCAAGGAACACGTCGGCTCTAGTGTCCTTCAGATGGTGGCCTGGTTTAGGAAGGGGTTGAGATTCCTGGGAGGTACAGCTGATACACATCGGTAATTGAGTGGACTCGGGAGCTAATGGAGGCCGGGCTTCTGGTGGGACAGTTGGAACTAGGGTAGTACTTTTCTATGAGGTAGTCAACACAAACAAGGAAATCATTTTGGACATGCTGAGCTGGAGATAGTTGTACAGTATTTGTATTTGTGGGTTATTCACAAGCAGATTGTGATGAAAGCCAAAGAGAGTCAAAGCAGGTGTGACTTTTGAAGTCGATAGATTCTCCTGATAACACATCCCTGGAAGGGAAAGACTTGGTAGGCACATGTTGATCCTGTAAGATGAGGAGAGGCTGAAAACTTGGCCTTTGTAAGATTGTTGTTGTTAGTTTTTCACAAATAACCTCTGTGAAGGCGGTTATGCTGAGGAAACAGGATTGTCAGGCATCACAGGGGACCCAGTTAGATGTATCACTTGGCCCTGTAGTATGCAGCAAGCCCGTGAGGTCTGGAGAAGGGAAGTAGGATTCATTGTGGTAGGGCTTTTGTGAACTAGAAGTTATGATGTCATCAAAACCAAAATCAATCCCATCCCACTACCAAGGGGCCAGTTATGACTCATTGTGACCCTACAGGACAAAGCAGAACTGCTCACTTTGCAATTAGCAGTCTGGCATTGAACCCAGTCTGCCACCAGGACACCTTATACAGACTAGTGAGTAGAAGAATTTCTGCTATCTTGGGCAGAAGAGACAACACGACAGCTGAGAGGGAAGATGGGCTAAGGCCTTAAGGAGAAAACTGGTGGGTCCCAAGCACAAGAGGGTGGTAGGATTGTGGTGACAGAGCAATATTTGACTTTGTTTCTCTAGAGGGACAATATAAGTGGTAGTAGAGATCAAGAAATCAGAGAGGTGAAAACCTCATCCCCTTGGGAGAGATGGGAATGGACAAGGTTAAGAAGCCCAAGTTCTCTGATGTTAAGAACTGCGGAAGGATGAGACAGCACACTGCTAAGTCCTAAAGGAATAGGGTTTTTTACATAATGGTAGAGAATCAGTAATCTGAAAAAGCATCAGACTTGTACAAGGAAAACTGACCTCACCTGACCCCAGGAAATTCTTGGGTATGGAGGGAACAATTACCATATATAGAGTTGCAAAGCAATTAGCACCTTTCAGGTCCCAGGTTTCAGCTACAATGAGAACAAATTGAAACAGAGGGAAAAAAAGGGGTCTTAAGTCATTGCTAAGAGTAATAGAATCTCAGAAAGGCGTGCACTTGATGATTACAGTGATATTTTTGAAGCCATGGCTTTTACCCTATTAATGTCTAGAGCTCCATTAACACAAACCTTATTTAACCAATTTTGTTTTGAAATTAAGTTTGTTTTGAAATTTAGATATTAAATTAAAGACTCAGAAATAGGTGATGGACCTGGATTATTGCTTGAACTATTCTAATCAGATCTGAGATTGTTAACCCCTCAGTTTCTTTTATCTAAGCAAAATTTCTGTTTGATACAGATGATGTCTACCGTAGAAAAGCCTCAGAAAGGCAGTATCAGAGAAGGCTGGAAGATGCATCAAAGACTGAACTTCATCCGTCAATAAAGTGAAGAGGAAACTTCGCTACTGGTTTCAGTTCCTTTGAAAATGTCCTTTCCAGAGCTATCGTCCTTCAGCAGCTGCACAGTATTCCAAGAACTGTCTTTACAAAGAATTTTTAGTTTTACAGTTTCTGTTGGAATACTCCCCAAGTCACTGTTGGACATTTAAGAGAAAATGGTTTCTTCCTAAAATATACCCAACCTGCTGAACCTAAACTATGAAATATTTAAAAATAATTCAAGAATCAACTAGTATGCTTTTCGTGCAGTCTGAATTATTTGTGAAGTCCTGTTTTTACACAACAAATGATAACCTTTTTATCCTTTTTTCAGGATTAAAATTTAGTATCTTTCCTATTGTGAGATCATTTATCAGGGTACACAATTATACAGATTGCATTTCTGTAAATAAGGGCTGAGAATTCCTAACTGTCCACACATTACTCATGACAAGTGCTCTTGTGAGCAAAAATAACCTTGTCCCGGTGTGGCTCTGCTGACACAAAAGGGCTAGGCCTTCAGGACGGCTGCAGGTGGCAGCTTTGAGCTCTTCTAGATGCTGTCGCTGCTTTCATCCAGCTGCCGAAGAAAAAGCACTTGTTCCTTCTATAACAAAGTGAAGCTACCCAGTGTGAAGCAACCAGACTGGAACTAAACCAGTTCAGTCTGGTAGGACACTTTTCCAGTCTGACCTCAAATAAGTTGGGTCAATTGAGCAAAGGCATCTTTCCATATCCAACATCCTTTCAAATAAAACATCTACCGACTCAATGGCACATAACAACAACAACAACATCTAGTTGTTAAGTGCCGACTCATAGTGACCCTGGTGAAGGGTTTCTGAGAAGCAGCTGGTGAGTTTGAACTTTTGACTCTATGGCTTAAACGGACCTTGAGGTTCAGTGCATGATTCTGTAGTGCCATACCAGGACTCCATCTATCTAATTTGTTAAATGCCATTGAGTAGGTTCCAACCTTTATAGGGTTTGCAGTCCAGCGCATTACCCTCAAAGACTAAATCTCAAAAGCGTTTCTGCTGAAAGCTACAAGGCATCCTCACGCTAATGATCTCTGCCACAAATAGTTTTCTGAAAATTTTTTCTAGTTTGTTCCTTTGTGTGAAAGCAGTTCGGTGTAAATAAAGAAAACCAGACACATTAAAGCAGTTATCTATAGCAAGGAGTCCTGGTGAGGCGCGCTGTGGGTTAATTCTCCAGACTGCAAAGCCATTTGAACGGCAAATTCGGCAGTTCAAGCTCACCAGCTGCTCCTCAGAAACCCTATACAGGGTCAGAATCGACTCAACAGCACTTAACAACAGCAAGCTCAGTCACTGCCATCCCATGGTTCTAGTGTGAACATCAAGGGAAACCAGCAGCACTGACCAGTCCTGTCTGGCAGGTGTGTCACCTAAAGTTCCCAGTAAACCCAGTAGATATTTGAGTTGACAGCCACATAAGCACTGATAATTGTGGTATGAAGTTGCATTTCTCTCAAAGGTGTGGTTTCATGTTCCTTTCTCCCTTCTGAGCTTTAAAGATATTGCAACATACACACTTTTATGATGCCTAGTAAACTAATAAAACCATTACCAGCTTCGGGATAAGAACATTTCCAGCATGCACCGTCTACTTTAGGGTTGTTCCTTGGCCTACCCCCTCATTTTTCTCCCCCAGTGGCAAACTCTAGCCTGAATTCTATGTTCATCTTTTGTAGGGTTTTGATCTCAACTTGTTTTCCATGAGTGCTGATTTACTGAAGGACAAAAAATCTTTTTGAACTGGCAGGACAGCCTATTATATTAAACTGAAGACACTTTCAGAGTACATTAGTTTGGATGCTATTGGGTAAGAGATACCTGTGTTAACTCAAGTCCAATCCTTTTTAACTTTGTCTCAAAAATTTTTTAACTCCCCTACCAGGAACATAAAGGAGCTCTGGTAGTGTAGTGGTTAAGAATCAGGCTGTGAACCTTAAGGTCAGCAGTTCAAAACTACCAGCTGTTTCGCAGGAGAAAGATTAGGCTTTCTGCTCCCATAAAGATTTACAGCCTTGGAAACCCTGTACAGGGTCGCTATGGGTCAGAACCGACTCCAACGGCACATCACCACCACCAGGAACATAAGGAGCACTGGTGGTAGAGTAGTTAAATGCTTGGCTGTTAACCAAAAGATTCACAGCTCAAACTCAGCAACAGCCCTGCTAGAGAAAGAGGTGGCAGTGGGCTTCTTCTGTAAAGCTCACAATCTCAGAAAACCTGTGGGGCAAGTTCTCTTACAGGATCACTAAGAATTGGAATCCACTCTGACAATAGGTTATCGGTACTGGGAAAATGAGTAGGAGTCTACTCTACTTGGAGGTTCTGTAACTTAACTGCAGTGCACCCTACTGCAAAGCGTAACATTTTAATAAAAGATAACCCAAATTACAGCAATTTCTTTGGAATGACAAATATTTAATTAACACTTACTGTTAGAAATAAGCTCCTGCAGAGGTGTTGGGAAAGAACATAGGCTTTGGAGGCTCACTTCATTATGTGAAATACTATGAAAGGTACCTGAGTTGGCACACGGTGACTACTCAACAAATGTGGGCTGTTTTTCTTCTCTAGCAGTTCTATTCTGGAATTCTTACCTAAATCCTTAATGTTATAACTTAATCACATGATCTTTGATTTAAAAAATAATATATGCAGATAAGTCAAAAAGAATTGCTACTAGGGTTTATATACACATGGGTTTATTACAAACAAAACGTTTTAAAGATGTCTCCGTGATCAGTGGATGGCTGCAGACAAATTCTTTCAGTAATACACAAGCCTTAGTCTCATTGTTAAGTGTCGTTGAACCTGTTCCAACTTCCAGCAACCCCGTATAGTTTCCAAGGAGTGGCTGGTGGGTTTGAACCGCTGACCGTGTGGCTAGCAGTCCAGTGTCTATCCTACAGCATTGCACCAGGATGCCTTTGTGTGCCTTCAATAAAAAAAAAGTTTCATTAAAACTGGATTCCAAGGAGATCTGCTGGGCCAGTTAAATTCAAGACAGAGAAGTCAGGTTAGGGTGACTGATCTTTAGGGCTCCAAAGGGTAATCTTGATAGATTTTCTTGAGGGACACAGAACAATCACAGTAAGGTATTAGGAAGAAATTTTAAGAAAATTAAGAAATGCACTTATAAGAAAAAAACAATGTTGAGGATTTTTTTTTCCCCATCATGACTGCACCTGTTCATTCTTGGAGAGTAGCAAGGGCTGTCCTATGAGAGTTTCATTGGGAGATTTACCTGATGCACCCTACAGAACTGATACTGCCCCCCCCCGACTTTTTTTGTTTTAAAAACTTAAAGATCATTTAAAAGGAACACAATTTGAGTTCTGGGAGGATGCCAAAACTATCATTTTGATGTGCTGTCAATCAAAAAGCACAGAACTCTTCAAAGAGAGTTAAGAGGGATGTCAACACTACCTTGACAAGTGTATAGTCCTAGATGGCATATATGTTGAGAAACAATTGCACATTTTTGTTATTTTTGTTTAATAAACAGGTCTATGATTTTGTAGCAGTAAGTTTTGACATACCCTTGTACTTGGACAATGGTGTTTGCCAAAGCAATTTCTCTACTAGAAAAGCAATACTAGTACTTACTCATCAAACGTGGATTGTATCAAATGTGGATTGCATACCACATCTCTTTTGAGGAAAGGTACAGTCAGTCTACTGAAGGAGCTCTGGTAGCATGATGGTTACAAATTGGGCTGCTAACCTCAATGTCGGCAGTTCAAAACTACCAGCTATTCCATGGGAGAAAAATGAGGCTTTCTGCTCCCATAAAGAGTTACAGCCTCGGAAACCCTGTGCAGGGTCACTATGAGTTGGAACCAACTCCACCGTACTTAACAACAACAACATAGTCTACTGATCCGTTCTGAACTTTTAATTTACTGGCCTAGCACATTTCCAAATTAGAAATGAACCGCATTATTTGCACGCACAGAGTGTTCAACTGAAATGTTTTTATATTGACGACTGTTCAAAATAATACTCATAAACAGAAAACACGACAGTATAGCCCTAAACTCTCAGGAGAATAGAACTTCAGGGATTTGCAAAGTGATATTAGAGGAAAACAGTTGGTTGATTTTACTGACACTTGTATGAAGTGCGTGGTTATGTTTTAAAGAGCATATATACAGGTTAAGGACACACCAGGGCTACCTGTCTCTTCTGTACACAGACAAGCTGACGACTTGGAATGGAGTTACTGCTTTTCTCGCACACTTCCAATCTAACTTTCCCCTGCATCTCTGCCCCTGCTTAGGACATGTTAGGGATTCCCTGACCACAAGTTGAGGCTGCCATGGCGCACTGCTGGCTTCCAAGGGGTCTGCTGTTTAAGTTAAAGCAGCTTGAGCCCTGATCCCAGGCTCTGGACATTGACCTGTACCTCCACCAAAATGGCAGCTGTGTCCCTGGTCAGTGTGAAACCAGGGCATGCAGGAATTAAGTCTGCTTGGAACTATCTATCTGACACAAGCTTTAACACAACAACCAAACCTGGTTAATCCAAATCACTTTGCAAACTCCAATTTTATTTGGATTAAAAGCTTTAGGTGAACAAACATATGATACATACATGTTATAAGAGTAGTTACCACTCAAACCTTTTTTGATACAGAAATGAGAATAAACCAATTTTTAAGAAGGTGTGAAAGTGTTCAATCTGAAACGTCAATACCAATGTGGAGATTTTTATACAAGTCCCCCACCCAGGCAATTCTTCATAAAGAAGGGAAGGGTCTTTTTAGGACTTTCAAATCAGTTGCCTGACAAACTTGTCATTTTAAACCTAAAAGTCTTCTTCTCCATATAAACAAAAGACTTTCCCTACCTCTTAACATTTTGAAAACACTTAGGCCATTATACTTTGTAAGCTACCTCACTCAAGGTCCAAAAACTCTTGGGGGTGGGGTGGGAAGGTGTATAGTTCACTTGCTTAAACTAGGACTTTTTTTTTCCTTTGATTTTTTGAAGCTAGGTAGCAAATTTTAAATTGTATATTTAAATACTAACTGATAAACTCCAAGTTAATAGAAAGACATGATTCTAAAATAAATATATCTTTTTAAAACTTGACTAAGGCCTGCCTGGTGGCTCCCTAGCTCAGCCCTGCACTGCCTCAGGGGGACCTCTTGGTGTTAGAGGGAGGCCTGAGGGTGAGCGCTTTGGCTTCTGAAGCCCCAAAGTGAAGACGTGTTCGAAGTTTCCCAAAGAAGTCTCACCCAGACCTTTTAAAAAGGGAGATAGAATGAATGAATGAAATAACCGAAATGAAATTTCAGGTTCTTTGGTGTCATTCAAGGATGGCTAGAAAGAAAAGAGTCTGATTATATTATAAAGTCCACGATGATTCAGTGATCCAAATAACAAGGAGCTGAGGCTTTCTTTATCTGATTCAGTTAAACAATAAAGGTTCCAACATACAACTGCAATCTATTTTTTAAAATTCAAAATTATTTAAAATACTTGATGCAGCGATTGAGATCCAGTGGTTGACTACAGGCAATAAAGTTACAAGGGGCTCCTGTACTTAAAGTATCTAGACACAAGAGACTCCCCCCATTCTACATTCTTGTCCTCATGATTTATTTAGAATGGTAATTAACCATCTGGTTTATCCATACCATACCAGATTAAAAGAAAAACTTAAGTTCTTGGTCACTCTCAACTTTCAAACAGTTGTGGGATTTCACCACAAAGGCAACCACCCTGTTCTGATGAAGCAAGTTTCAAAACAGCCCTTAAGTGAAGTAATGACGCTTTCTACCTGTCTGAGCATCATACACTGCTTCCCAATGTTGATTCAAGGATCAGGTAAAAGAGGGTCATCAAATCCAAGGATCTTAATGGTCATTTTAGTGAGCCTTTTTTCTTAAATTTGATCCTTTTGCTCTGGTTGAGAATCACAACCCTGAAAGTTGGAGGTTAAAAAAAGGAAATAAAATAAAAAGCTACATTTGACAATGAGGAAATGAAGACTAACAAAACATCTGCATAAGCAGGTGATGTAGCCATTCATTCACAATTATGCTTCTGCTGTAGCTCACATCCAGTCATACGGTCCCTCTGTTAGGTCAGGTCAGGTCTGAGGCTTAAAAGTAAATGAACTCCATGTATACCTCAATGAACTTAAAGATGAACTTTGATGTTTTAAAAAACATAACAAATTAAAATCTTTTTAATCATTTAACACGTATAGGCATAGATTGTGAATTCATTATAAATAGATCAAAAATACCCTTAAACTTACCTGCCAAGACTAATATAATTCAGGGTTGTGCATATCTCCTGCAAAAATAACTGACATCCTAGATGTCTAATCTCCTACCATGAGAAGATGTACCTCTGCTTCTGAGTGGCCTAAGAAGAACCTGTTGCAGAAGGTGCACAGCTCTGACTTCAGGTCACTGTAACAAGCCTCACAGTTCAATAGAATAAACTGTCCTGTGTCTGTCAAACAGCTAGAACCAAAATGACAACCTTTCAAAGATAGCATGTCACTTCACCAAGCAATAGCTTTTGTGGAGAGTGGCATAAGTAAGATATGCAGGCACATGAAACAAATACAAACACACTCTCCTAAGATGTAAACTAGGACCAACTTCACATTTCATTGTCAATTTAAACTAATCTGTAAACTATTGTGTGTCTTTTTTTCATTTTGTTTTGTTCTTTTATAAAAAAAAAAAAAAAAAGCCCAAGCCAAGAAAAAAACCTTTGATGGTTTAAGTTCCATGGCAACTAAAAAGATAAAAGTTCAAGTCTACGTATACAACCAATTATGAAACTGGTTTTAAACGAAGGAAACGTATGCAAAAAAAAATCTTTGTGTATTTGATAAAGTCAACTTAATATAACAAAAACAAATTGAAATAGCTTATTAAAAGTGTCCTTATATAAAAATGGCCTTGTGATGTACAGTAAAATGCAATAAAAATGATCATCCTTTGTTCTTCCCCACCCACCCCCAGTAACTAAAATGGCTACTGTTCCACAAAACGCTTTATGCTTCTATAAAGAAACGTAATTGATGCGATTAGACGTTCTCTAGGTTGTATGCTTGGCGAATGTTAAGGGTGTCTCTGAGCATCAAATCTCGAAGGCGCCACAGAGCATCTGCCATGGTGGTGTGGGCCCCTTTACTTTTCAGCCAATGTGAAGGTAGGCGGCTCTCCTGCTCTTTCGACAAATGGACGTCCCGTCTTCTAGCTGAAATATAAATTGGAATTTTAAGGTGACAAATTTCCCGTCAGAACTAAAGTCTGATTTATCAAAATACAGAATTAAATATTACGAATTTCAACTATGCAGAATATTTTCAAGCAAATTTCTGATGTCGTTTTATTAGGCATCTTGGTTTTTAGAAAAATACTTCATTCTGTTCTGAGACCATCCATTGGCAACATCCTTGCCAAGAATGTCTTATTGTTGCTCTATGCTTTGTAATCCAGAAATTATGTATGTTGAATACAGAGCTGCAGATTTAATGTAACTACACTAGAATGGGCAAATGAGAATTGTAAGCACACCTGATAGATCTGGTGGTTAATATTTTGTTGCAGTGATTTCAAAAGTAAATAGTGAAGGAAGGGAAAATATACCAACTACTCTTGAAATAAATCAAATTTGATTTAGAAATTAAGAACATGTTGTTGTTGTTAAATACCGTGGAGTCGGTTCCGACTCAGAGTGACCCTGCACAGGGTTTCCAAGGCTGCAAATCTTTACGGGAGCAGAAAGCCTCATCTTTCCCCTATGGAACAGCTGGTAGTTTCGAACTGCCGACCTTGAGGTTACCAACCCGATTCATAACCACTACGCTACCAGAGCTCCTTGAAGAACATGTAGAAGTGTCCAAATTTCTCTTCAGAAACTAGGCAAGTACTGTAGTATGTACAGAAACTGTATTTAAGTCTGTTGAACTAAATGAATAGCTTTTCAGCTTAGTGGAAACGTTTTCCAATAATTTTCTTTTCATTGAGATAAAGTAGTAATGTTAAATTTACCCAAATGCCATATATATGCCTGATCAGAAAAGTTCTGAGTATGTTTTAAAAGATGGAGATGCTGTTTTTGGCAAAACTTAAGTTTTAAAACTTGGCAAAAAAGTTTTTTTCCAGTGTGCGATGTTACTATGCAAAGAAGCTCTAACTGTTCTATTTAATATGATTTACTCTACTTGTTTGGTAAAAATGGGTATTTACCCTATGATATAAATCCAAATAGCAACAAGAAGACAACTGCCAGGAAGTGTGTTTTTTGCCAAGGATTGTTTTGGAAAGGCCTCTCCTTACCTGCCAGGGTCTGGTCCCATTTGCTAATGCTGCTGGACTCAGCACTGAGCCCTTCAATATATTTCAGATAGGCCTCAGAGTGGAGAAGCCGCTGGGTCTTCGGTGGGGGAGCCACAAACATGGGTGTTGTTGGCTGCTGTATGACAGGTGGGGCAGCTGGATGTGGGCCAGGATATGGAGGTGGTGCCTGCTGCCCTGGAGGCCCCAAAACTCCCATCTGAAAGAGCATGGACCGCATGGTAAGGCAAAAAGATACTCTGCAAATGCTCTGAGAGATAAGATGACTGGAGTTCTGTAGAGTCCTAGCAAGTCACACTCGGAGGCTCACCTGTTGTCCATATGGACTTCCACCCGGGGCTGGCGTCCCTACCAAAGGGGCCACTCCTTGGTGCATCACACCTATAATTCAGAATGCAATATACAATTAGAGTCTCTGAGAATGAGGTGACTAAACACTGTCTGATACAAAAATGATGCCATTTGTAATGAAAACCTATGGACCTCTGTCCTTGAGTCTTTGAGGATAGGAACCCCAACCATCCAAAACAGGATTAAATAGATTTAAATAGAAAATTTACATTCTTTTACTTCGAGATACTTTCAGTACTCAGCTGCTACAACCTGGCATATGTAATGTGCATTAGCCACTTGTGGTTTAAATGATTTAAACCCCACATCAAATTCTAGAAATATATCCCAAAGTAAGTAATAGGCAGAATACAACTCTTATTTTCAAGATATTTTTCTTCTGACAACAGATTCTGCTGCAACTAAAACCTGTGTTTGATTTCAGCAGTAATGGCATTGGAGTCAGGCTCAGCAGTGCACAATGTGCTTGGATGGCAGGGCCCAGAGGCAAGAGGCTGTGAAAGTGCACGGTAACACGAGTCCTTTTTGGGAGGCACATTCTTTCTGTCCCTTGTAGGTGGCCAGCACCTGTCGTTCTAACTGGACTGGCTGGTGTTATCAGAGAGAGGGCATCCCCATTTGTTAGAGCAGTATTCTGAAAAGGGGTCATTGTTGAGCCAAACAGCCTCACTGCTGATGTTTCAAATGCAAAATGACAACAGAATACAGGAGGGAAAATTTAATGACCCCTAGTCCATCTGCACTCTGTCTCTGGTAACAATTTTGTAAACTTCCCTTGGTAATTCCTCACAAGCAACTGTTGTCTCACAAGCACTAGTTGATAACAGCGAGATGATTTTTATTCGAATCTCCGAAGCATCTGCTATCCTGGCGGAACACTCAATACAGATCCCATTCCTTAACAACCAACAAACCACAAGCAAACCCTGGGGAGCTGTTTCTGAAGGACTCAGAGCACTGACTTCATAGTCCATTGTTGTTCAGTGTCACTGAGTCAGTACTGACTCAGCAATCCTCTAGAGGAGCAGCTGGTGGGTTTGAACCACTGACCCTGAGGTTACAGCACCACACCAGGACTCCACATTCTATGTTGTTGTTGCTGCTGTTAAGTACCGTTGAGTCGGTTCTGACTCATAGCGACTCTGTAAGGGTTTCTGAGGAGTAGCTGAATTTGAACCATGGACCCTGCAGTTCAAACTGACCTTGAGGTCCAGTACGTTGTTGTTGTTATGTGCTGTGGAGTCGGTTCCGACCCTGTACAGGGTTTGTGAGGCTGTAAATCTTTACGGGAGCAGAAAGCCTCATCTTACTCCGTGGAACAGCTGGTAGTTTCGAACTGCTGACTGTGAGATTAGCAGCCTGATTTGTAACCACTACGCTACCAGAGCTCCTTGAGGTCCAGTCTAGAGGATTCAAAATACTGATTTTGACCCAGCAGAGGTCAGGAATCTAAGGTCTAGAATTGCTAAATGCCACTTCCTGGAAGTATCAGATACCCTCTTATTTGTTAGAAAATACCAAGCAAAACAAGCTTTTCTGTTTCCAAGCAGAGGTTTTAATACTCCAGGTATCCAGAAGGGTACTTTGTGACTGAATGAAGAGGCATGGTGGGTAAGCAGCTGTTCTAGCAACATAACAACCCCTGCCCCCAGGACACCCACCTTATACTTCACAACACAGTGGGCTCCGTAAGTTCCCTGTATTAATGCTTTCCAGAGCATCACATACACATCAGCAAGTCCCCCTGCTTCCTGTTTACAGATGCCATGCCAAGGGAGAGCTGGTAAGAATGTGAGTGAAGTCTCCAGGCAGCTCCCTACAGCCTCTCACAGCCTAATCAGACAGGTGTACATAGGCACTGAAGGGGTTCTTTCCTGTCTCCCTGACAGTGACCTGGTGTGCTGTGCTTCCTTTAAAGGCAAGTTAGAAACTGAAGGAGTGGGGGGCGAGAGGGAGGTAAGAGAAATGTGTCCCAGTACCCATCAAAAGACATCTGGTACTTAGAAGCTACTGGCCTGCACTGCAACTCCCACTGAATACTACAAGGACCGCAAAGTTGTCCACTTGGACTTGGTCTTGAAATACTGTGTGCCAGGGTGAGAGGGCACAGAATTCAAGCCAATTCCACCTGTCATATGTGAGCATCCATGATGGAGCTATGACCATTTTCTCACCAACACTCCCAAAAAGGTCAGTCACAGCTCAGGCCAGGCCACTGCTGGGCCCACCTTATGAAACAGCATTTAGAACCTGCAGAGACCTATGACTGGCAAGTCTAATACGGATGCAATCAAATTGAACATATCTTATTATCTGGGCTGGGCCCTTAACTGACATTAGAAGAACAGCCCAAACACAACTCTAAGTTATCTAAAAGTCACGTTTCTCCCCAATCTGATTACAGCTAAAAGCCAGGTCTTATGTACATGAGGACAATTAATAGGGGAACTTGTGATTTTCCTTTGAATTCAATTAAGCAAAATAATCTTTCACCTTGCTAATTCTACATTAAGTAAAATAATGTAGTTTATTTCTGGATTCCACTTACATGTTTCTATATAAAATGATAAACAAAACAATATCTACAATTAGTAGATGGACTTCGTTGTCTAAATTATGAGGTCCTGCTTCTCAGGGGACTCAGATTCTGATAAGGAGTTCAGTGCAAATTTGTATCCTCCTACCTCACCTAGCACCAGCCCCCCCAGCTCCCTGCCAAGACTGACTGACCAACCAAAGGATTTCTGAAGTGTTCTGCATTGGCGGCCTTCCCCTTAGAAGGCTGCTTTAGGAGAAAAAGATGGAGCAGCAACTCTATACTGAAGACCCTGTGCCACAAGAATTGTACCAGAGAAAGAAATGCAACTAGGAGCATCAAGTGAACAAGCAATGGGGGAAACTTCATGGCCTTCTACGGTATATTTGGCTATTCAAGCACATGTCAAATTGCATGAGTAATTACAGAATATGCCTCCTGCCTCTTGGTCTGCTGAGTCTGGCCTCTGCCATGTGTCCTACACTGCTGCTTGGCAATCAAGTATCCAAGGGCACAGGTGCTGGGCCACCTGCTCAACAAATGGGAGAGGGCTTGCTGCTGATAGCTCTAAAATTCTTCAGTGAGGGAAGGCCTGGTCACAATGGGCAGCAGGTGCCTTCTGGAGCCACTGGCTAAGAAGAGAATATGGAGATGAGCTTAATGAGTGAATGAGAATGAAGTTCTTACCGGGTGGTGGGATGCCCGGGAGGCCGGGCACAACTGGTGGAAGGTGGTGGGGTGGAGGCCCCCCAGGGTGAAGTGGCTGCATGCTGCCCATGCTAACAAGGCCATCAACTGGGCCCTGCAAAGGTGGAAGGCCTGGCGGATAGCCACCCATCATGCCTTGAAGGACACAACAAATTTCAGACATGCATCATTAACATGCAACATGAGCTAAGTAATAACAAAACCCCCACATGCACTATCAATGAATAAAGCACCCTTAGTATTGCATGATATACCAGCAATTAGTGCAATTATTTTGTTGCAATAATGAACAAAATAAAAAGTTACAAATATGAAATACAACATTTCTGGATGAATTAGTACTTAGTATATTATTATTTGTAGTTATTTTTCCTGGGATAACTATGCTGCATGTTTTCTGTTAAATAATAATGAAAAGTTCCAGTAACAGCTTTCCCAAGGTCATGATTACTGCAAGCTGTTCAAACAGAGTGACTAGTTCTGCCGACTGCGGTTCTAATTGAATAGTAGAAACCCCATCATTCCACTCTGCCACACTCATATGCCTATCATGGGTACACATGAGGGGAAACCGGAATGGAGGAAGATGAGGCACACAGTCCTAATCACAAAGCATGCTTCTCCAGCTTGGGGGTGGGAGTGTTTCAAGACTTGCACATCTACTTCTCTTTCCTCCCAACCTACTGGTGCTCTAAGAATGTTGGTAAGATGGATCATGCTTGGCCTTGAGCTGGGGAATAGCTTTTAGAGTTATCAGAATGAATGATGTTTTCATCGTTCAATCTCACAATGCGAAAAAATAAAGATAAAACCTAAACCCTCCCAAGCCAACCAAAGCCCAGGCCACTCAGTTTCCTGCATGCGTTTCTTATGGATGAACAGCTGGAGAACTAGGCTCTGCTGACAAGAGAAAAGGCCAATTGTCACCACTGTCTCCAAACTCACAAATACCCTCACATAAACCTTCAGCTAATGGGAGCATTTTAATTGAGGTACAGAATTCCTGTGAACAGAGGCTTTTATTTTTTTATTTTCAACATGACAAAGTATTTTCTGCTGGCCAGGGAAGACTTTTGGGAAACAAGTATTTCTAAAAAAACAAGTTTAAGTAAGAAAATAATTTTGAAATGTCAAGGATTCACCTGTCAAGAGACTTTTAAAGCTACGTGACATTTTTTAAAGCAAGCAAACCAACTAGATTTTTCTGGGATTTGTGATGACCTCAGTAACAGAAACACAAGGCTCCCCCCGAAAATGGAATCTCCTTTGGTCATAGCATTTCTCAAAAAGGGAAGGGCCTACGGGAGAACTGACCAAAGTACTAGTGCCAAACTGCATTTTCAATAAAATACTCCATGTTAAAGGACTCTGAGAATGGCAGAAATTGCCAGAATCTGAGAATTTTACTGTTTGACTTTCCCTGAAGAATGATTCGAAAGGTATCTGTAAAAGTTTAATCTTTTAAAGCTAGGAGATTACTGAAAATTCTGGCATGGATTCAGCCTGCTTCATTAGTCATTAATCTGAGCTGACTGAAAAAACTTAACAATCACACAAATCAATAAAACAAAAATTTAAATGGCAATATCTTAATATATGTACAAAGATTATGAGTTTCACTTTTTTTTAAAAATGAGAGCTCGAGAGTAAAAACTATTTTTGAATAGACACCATCATCTGAAACATGAGGAGATCGAATCTCACTAAACTGTTTTAACCACGCCACCAGATGCCACTGTTTAGGATAAGCGTGGAAATTTAAGAATGGTAGGAGGCTTTGCTTTCAATTACAAAAGCCCATCTGAACGTAGCCTTCATGGGCTGTGGTTGTAACAATAATGAAGAACTGAAAGACATGACACTTGTCTTCATTAAACTGTACTCTGGCATTTATATCCCAGTCACATGTTCAAATGAGCTTCAATGCTTGTAAGCAAAGCTGGTCTCAGACAGCAACAAAGCTAAACTTGGGCCCTAAGCAGCCTGTAAGTCCATGAAAAACCTTCCTCTGAGCTCCAAAGTGCCCACTGTGGACCAAAGACTGGATACTGGAGAGACTGTCCTTCATTCTTGGGCAGCACACTCTTACTAATGGAACAGGGGCTTTCTCGAGGGGCCCACCCTCCTTACCCATCAGAGCTCTATGGTGTTATTCCCCAACAGGGAGCTAAAATGCTGCAGCTGCTGTTTTTTAAAATGATTTTTAGCTGTTTGGATTCATTTTGCAGTGTCCCTGGGCTTTTTAGTCAAGGGCACAGTGCTACAGTTTCACACATCAAATAGAACAAAACAGGATGTCAACGAGGGAATTCTAACTTTCAAAGTTCCCATGTTCAAGGTCTGATTTCTAAAAACCTCTGGAACCCCATTAACCAAAATGGGCCATGGAATAAAGCAGGCGATTATGAGACTTGTTAGATCAATGTCAGTCACACTGGAAGTTCTGAAAGCCATGATTCAGATGTGCTTTGGCGAGTGCAACTGCGAGTTCAGCGACAGTGTGTTTGAGAACTTGCCATCATGAAAGTTAGGAGCGACAATGGAAACGTTATCCTATGCTACTCTTTCTCAAAACAAAACAAAAAGCAAAAACAAAAACAGCATCCCAACAAGCCTGCCTTGGACAACACTGTCTTTGACTCCCTATGAAAGAGGTCAGGCTGCTTGCTTAAGAAGAAGCATAGGTGGGTCTTAAGGATCTCACCCGGCTTAGAGAGATCATCAAGGAGTGATCCAAAGGAGGGGGGTGGTCTGCAGAGTTCTCTTCAGAGACATGTCAGGCAAGGATATTAAGTTCAAGAATAGCCAAATCTGCTATGGCGAACAAATCAGAGACAACACACACAAGCAAACCACATTCATCATTTTCTTTTCTTTCTTTTTTTTAAATATGTGACTGGGATACTAACAGAAGATGCAGTTTAATGTAATCAAATAGAAAAGCATTACAGAGTGGGCACAATGAATTGAATAAGGACTTTGTATTCCATTTAGCAGTCATGCATATTGGTGACCAGAAAGAATTTAAATAATTCATTGCCAAAAATCCTTTTGAATGGTCAGTCTTTTAAAGGATGGCTGCAGCAGAACAAGGCAAACTGAATACTGGAATGAGACAAGAAAATCAACAGCACCTGAAGGCTGGCTTTTTGTTTTCTCTTGGGAATCCCCCTACAACAGAATTCAGGGTCCGCTTGTATTTTCTGCTATGGTGCTCTCTTAAAAGCAGTCTGGGGTGGAGAACTTTGCCATACCATGTCTACAGGCAGGGATGAGCTAGTAGCCTCTCACTACCAGGTCCAGGGTTGGGCCCAGGGCCCATTTCTGGGGCAGAGTAGAGGCACTGTCCATATGGGAAAGGCGATATAAGACGACATGGATGACTTCAAACTTGGAATCTGTTATGAGAAAAGGCTAAAGACTGTGGCCTACTCCTCATTGGAGAAAAAAAAAATGAAGGAATTTTCTTAAAAGTGGAAAAAAATGGTCTTAGCTCCTGTTTTTACCTGCAACAGGTGTCAACTGCTGATTGAGCATCCCCATTGGTGTTGGTGGTGGCACCACCCCCATGAGAGCCCCCACAGGGGTGCCTGCTCGGGGAGAAGCACTCGGCTGCTGTTGCTGTACTGCTCGCTCTCTCTCCTGCTGCTCAGCAACTTTAGCTGCCCGCTCTGTAAAGGCATTTCAGATTTTCAATTCTGTTTTTAACCCAGGAATTCAAAATACCATCCATTGCATTCAACAGGACTAGTAAAAACACAGGCAACAGTTCTGTCTCAATGGAAGGAACAGTAGATGACTAGTCTCAATACAGGAGGAGTCGGGCCGATTTCACTTGGTAACCTAGAATCCAGCTTTCCTATCCCATCTTGAGAACTGGTCTGCAAAGATTTCAAGAATGTTAAGACTGCAACACACATTCAGAAAGCACAGGTTTATTTAAACACGTCACCAATGGAACCAACGTGGTTAATCTCACGAGGCACCCTGAAGATGAGAAGCGCTACCATTATTCTAGCATTAATAGCATTACAGATTATTTAAAATTTCAACATGAAGCAATTCCATGGCCCATTATAATTTTTGGCACAATTGTTACTTACTATATTTTCCTGATTTATTGCCCCCAATTTTACTAAGATCTAAGCACTCATCATTAGTGTCATGGGATTTTAGCAGCTGAAGAAAATTAACTCTGTAAGGGAAAAGTAGCTCACTGCCTCTTCCACAAAGTCTGAGGGAGAGTCAACAGCTAATTTCTGCATTTTAATGAAACAAAGAAGTCATACTTAGTAAACTCCAAGGGGAAAAATAAATAATATTCCAGGCTACAATCACTGAAAGCAAGGAATTATATAGATACATATATACCAATGGATGAAAGAACTAGGTTACCTGAAGCTGAGCAATTTAATACTGACCATCAATCCTCCTCAATAAGCAAAAATTTCAAAATCCACTCTTATTTCATCCAAAATGCATGAGGAGCACTTGCTTGTGCAAGTTCTGTGCTGTGGAACATGTCCTTGCTCCAGTCCTCACTCCTTCTGTACCTCCAGAGTCAGCACCCAAACCATCATGTTTCTAGTCTATCTGGGAACTAGGAGGCTGGATCCTTACTAGAGAAGTCTAGAAATGGTGTATTCCCAAAGCTCCTTCAGTACAGGGTTCATTCTGCTTCACAATTCATACTTTTCACATGGGCAAACGGAGACTGGGAAACACGTAATGACTTGTCCAAGGATACAGAGAATCAGCTCCCTGTGGCTCTGACTCCTGACATCACACTCCAGTTGGCACAGGCACACATGAACCCTCAACATAGAATTCAAAAGGCTGATCTAAGGACGGAGAAATTGCTGAAGTCATCTGGCTTTAAAGAAAAACCAGAAGCAACACCTCATTTTCTTTTGATGTAAGAATGTGACAGTCAATCAAGTGTAGGCTTTGTTGGCTGTGACAACTGTCCCATAGACTTATCCTTCACTAATACTGTCCCACATTACAGATCTTCTGTACAATGAGTGTCAGGGACAATCTATTTCTGTAAGCTAACAATACAGAAAAACAACGATGCCCTAGACCCCAACATTAAATTCTAGTATTTTCGTTATACAATGACACAGGGAAATGGGAGAGGAAAAACAAAATGAAGCTGAAAAAGCAGAAAAATTCAGGCCTGTGGACTGAGTGTTGGAGGAGGAGCCCAACTGGGCAACTATCTTGGAAAGCAGAATTATTAAACTAAATCATGCATATTTCAAACTTTGGGTATTTAAGATAATGGATCAGAGCCCCAAAAGTTCAGATTTTGTGTCTTAGGCAGACACTGGCTGAGATATACAAACCATCCTCCATTGAATTTCATACTCCCCTTTGAATCTGGCACGATTTCCCAGAAGTCATTAGTTTTCCTTCTCTCCTACCATCCCAGGGTTTTTACTTTTATACCAAATATACTTCTTTCTCTTGGTATAACCTAAATAATCAGCTACCTAGTAAGTACTAGCTTCATCTCTGCCTTGGGACAGGATTTACACCTAAAACAGCTTCATTTTCAACATTTCTCTAGTTTAGTGCTGAACTTCCACTGAAGTGTGAAATAGCAGGGCTCTCTGAAGTTCTAGGTTCTTTCGGAAGTAACTTTGTTTTTTCAAAGAATATTCTGTAAAAGATTAGTTTTTTGGGGTGTTAATAGGTATTACATAAATACCTGTTTGTTTGTTTTTCATGTTTCAGAAAGTGTCAGGTAATACAAAACAGGCTTCTTTACTGTAGGTCTTACAGACTTTAATAAAGGAATATGCACTGTAAGTTTCCAAGAGAGAAAGTTTGTAATGCTTCTCAAATTAGTTTTGCCACAAAATGATTTTTGGCTTAACATCTTGTAGGATTAGTCTGTAGAGGATCCTTAGGGAAACCTGTTCGATAATTTCATAATAATCAATCACTTGTAGTTAAAAAATGTTAACTTTTGTAACTTTGTGAACTTTGATGGTTTTGTAAGCTTTAATAAAGAGGGCAGGCTTAGCAATGATTTCTTTATATTTGCTGAAGTGAAGAATAATGGATTTAGACTCAGTCAAGAGGAGTAAAAGTTGACCACTGTAGGCAGGATAAATTAAATTAACAAAATTAAAAACCACAATGCCACGGGCAATGGTTCTTTCTAATCCGTTTATTACTCAATTCTTTATTAAAGCTGTGCCTGATATTTTAAAGATGAAAACAGAAAAAAATCTCAAGTATTTGTTCCTAATGGCTAAGCACCACTAAATTCCTAAATGGGTTCACAGCCCAAAATTGTTTTATTGTAGAGTATTAGGAAAGTGAAAAAGAGAAGGCAGCTAAGCTTTATTAAAGACCCTCCGTACTATCCCCCCGCCCAGTCTAGTGCTTTAAATGTAGATATGAATGTGGCCACACATAGGTCAGGATTAACCCAGGATACCAAGTGCTTCAGCCAAGCCTCAGCCTGGAGTCAGTCTAAACCTATGGCTTTTCAAAAGCCATAATACAAGGTCACTGATTTTAAAGTCTTCTTTCAAGTAAAATTTAATCAAAATTATATGTAACATCACTGCAAAGTCATTCCCCAGCTCAACACGTGCGCTTACAGGGTTCACTGAAAGAAGGAAATCATGCAATTTTTAATAGCAAGATACTTTAGTTTGAGCAACCTTTTTTTGGGAAAAAAGGAAACAAAAAAACAACCAAACCAAAACCACCCCCCCACCAGGATTGGAGGCAGCACTCTGCTTAGTCAGGCCCAAGCTGGCATCTAAATTGCTGGGTGGGTGCCATTTGGGACAGTCCCCAGCACAAAGTTCATGTGCAAGTGGAAAGAACAAGAGAGTAAAACCTGTCTATGCACGTGCATTTCTGAAAACACCCTCTTCACTTAGAAAGTGGAGCCAATTATGATTAGTTTTTATTTACCTTCATATTCTGCCTTCTTGGCTGTCTCTAGATTTCTCCATTCTGTCCCCACGAGTCTGCTAAGCTCCCCAAAAGAGTAGTCTGGGTGTTGAGCCTTAATCACGGCTCTCATCTCACTGCTAAACAGGATGTAGCCACTCATGTTGATTTTCCGTTTGGAGCCTTCCTTCTTTCCACTGCCCTTGGCAGACTTTGGGGTAGACTGTAAGACAGAAAGCTCTTATAGTGCATCAGAGCACTGCATCTGGTTAACAGCTCAAAGATTCTGGAAGCCAGGAACATACGATCAAGTTATTGTTTTATAGACATGCTCAGTCTCTAGATGACCATTTTCTTGGTCAAAAGATACTCTTCTTTGCTTTTTACCAAATAAGAAATAAATGAAAGCTTCACTGGATTCCATGTCTGCAATCTGTAATAGTGACCTCACAATTAAGTCTTAGAAAAGTTCTGTCTGAGAAAAAAACCAAAAACAACAACAGGGATCACCTCAAATGAAAGATGATATTCTATAAAAGGAGAGATTTAAAAGATATGGGCAATAAAAGCTATGAAGCATCAAGTACTATCAATCTTTAACACAAGGCAGGGAGAGCTAATTAACTAAATTTCCCATTGAAAACAGCTACCTATGAATTTCAAATGCTCCATTTTAAATTGTTAATGGCATTGAGAAAGAAAAAAAAAAAAATCTATTGTTTCCTGGAGAATTCTAGGTTGAAGCTCACATACGTAGGAACTGGATGGTCCATTACTTTTGTCTGGGTGTGTTACAAGCCAAAAGCTGGGAACAAGACAAGTAATTGTAACCTGTCACTGTCACCTGTGGGGGCGTGTAAGGCATGAGGTCCAGCTCACTGGCCAGAGGGGTCTGAAGTTGAGGTAGAGAAGGAGGCTCAATGACCTCACTCTCCTCTTCTCCCATCTCTTCAATATCATCATCTCCACCTTCTAACTCTGCAAATTTAGCTTCTAGCAACTGTATCTTCTTTTCCAACAAAGGTGAGGGCTCCTTCTGAGGAACAATTGGTTTCCTAAAAGAAGAGACACACACAAACACACAAAAATCAGGATTGATCAGAAAGCAATGCTCTGAAATGATTCCCTACTATCTGCAAGATAAACACAATGAGAAGAGTTTTTGCAACCTGCGGAACTTTGCAATCTCTGAACAGATAGGATGAATATTTCTGCCTCCACTCTACAATTATTGGAGTCACAGCCAAGGGCACAGGTAAGGCAACTATCACATTCCAGCAGAGTACGAGGATTTTTCTTTAATCTTTAATTGAATTAATTAATACTTTCTTCTTGAAATATACATTGCTCTAGCTTAAGATCTATTTAAAATAACAAGAAATCCAGCTTGCACTGCACACTATTTTTGTATCAATTTTACTATCTAGAGGTGAAGTGACTGTTATTTCTAGTTCCACAATTTTTACCTGAAGTAATAAATTTCATCATCTACCACTTTAGCAGAGAGTGAAAACCTCTTCAGTCCCTTAAATTTCTTCATCTGCTTGTCACTCTCGTTGTAGCGGCTTTCACAAAGCAGAACATCATTTTCTGGTATTTCGGTTGGCCTGCAGGAGAGGAAGTCCTTGAATGACAACACAGCACATTTTCCTGAAAGAGCAAATTGGAGTACTATTAGAGGGCAAACTGCATTAAACAAGTGTTTAAAAAATGTCATTTTTTTTTAATACATTAAAGTGATTCTAAATTCTAAAGATAAACATTGACATATGGACAGACATATAGACCAAAAGAATAGAACTGAAAGTCTAGAAATAAACCCATATATTTATGTGCAACTGATTTTTGACAAGGGCACCAAGACAACGACAATGGGTGCCTTTTCAATATGTTGTGCTGGGAGAACTGGATATATAAATGCAAAAGAATGAAGCTAGATTGATACAAAGTGAGAGGAGATGCACACGAATACCCTCACTTTCAGACAGTACCCATTTGACATAGCTTCAATGGCAGATGATCAGAACTCAACTAGAGGAAGAAAGAAAAGAAAAAAAAAATTTTTTAAATAAAGAAAACAAGTGTAATTTGCTACAATTTGATGAACTTGACCTATACTTAATGGATGTAGCAGCTTAAAATACCAACCAAAAGCGTAGGAATCTTCACAGCAAGGATCATTCCCATCCCTGCTGTACATAGGGTTGATAGGGATGGGCAAGTTAGACAATGGCTACCTAAAATGGAGGGGGAGCGGGCTATAAAGGCACAAAGTGTCTGGCTTACAAGTTTTCAAGAGGGAGTTTAGTTTCAGAGGGTGTCGGGGAAGGCAGAATCTCCACAACCTGTCTAGACAGGGCTGGTGAAAAGAGATGGGGATAAGACTCTTGTGGTTCAATAGTGAGTAATTGTTATTAGGACTCATTGCGATTGTTACAACTGTAAAGGTTGAGGTTTTATAGCAAAAAGTGTGGAGTGATTGATCTTGCAGTCCAGGAGTGAAGGACCCTAGGACCATCAAGGGAGAAGAGCAAGAGCGGAGTGGCTGGGGACTCTAGACTCAGAGGGAGAGGGGCTTTGTACTGGCATCCGGGGGTGGGAGTCAAGCTTGCAGGGTATGCCCTTTGGGTGTTTGAATGATTGTATATTCCTGAGTGTTTTGGTATATATCCAAAAAAAAAAAAAAGAAGAAATGAAGTAAATACTGTTGAATGATGATGCATGGAGGGGATTGTAATCATTACAATGAAACGAAATATGATAGGATGAGTGTAAAGCTGATGTTCTCTCATGTAAACCATCACTCAATTCACAATAAAAAGTAAAAAAAAAAAAAGAAGCTGAACTCTTACTTCATCCCACATGCAAACATTACCTCAAAGCGGAACAAAGATTCAAATGTAAGCTTTAACTATAAAACACTTAGAAGAAAATTAAAGTGAAAATCTTTGTGATCTTAAATTGGGCAATGGTTTCTTAGTTATATTACCACAAATTTAAGCAACTAAAGGAAAAGATAAATTGAACTTCATTAAAATAAAAAAACAAAACAAAAAAACTTTTGTGCTTTAAGAGACACTATTAAGAAAGACAAAAGACAATTCACAGAATATGAGAAAAAATTTGTAAATTATATGTATCTGATAAAGATCTAGTATTGAGAAATATATAGAACTCTTACAACTCAACAATAAAAACAAAAATAACACAATTAAAAATGGGCAAGGGATTTGAATAGACATTTCTCCAAAGAATATATACAAATGATCAATATACTCATAAAAAGATGCTCAACATCGTTAGTCATTAGGAAAATACACATCAAAACTACAATGAGACCAGACATCACTTCACATTTACTAGGATTTCTGACAAAAAATATGTACAGTAACACGTGTTGACATGAAAGGAGAGAAACTGCAATCCTTACATACTGCTGAAAGGAATGTATGTATAATGGTGCAGCAACTAGGAAAAGCTTGGCAGTTCTCCAAAAAGTAAAACAGTTACCATGCTGTTGTTGTTAACTGCTGTATAGTCTGACTCATAGTAACATAGGGGTTTCTAAGGCTGCAAATCTTTGTGGGAACAGAAACCTTATCTTTCTCTCTCAGATTGGCTGGTGGGCTCATACCACTGACCTTGTGGTTAGCAGTCCAGTGCTTACCCTCTAGATCCACTGTATTCCCTACCATATCACCTAATAATTCCACTGCTAGGTATATGAGAGGACTTCAAAAAATTCATGGATAAATGGAATGAAAAAATAACGAAACCTCAAACTTTTTGAAACTTCTTGTATACCTAAGAAAACTGAAAACAAGTAACAAAAACTCTATATGAACATTGTTGTAATTTGCTGGAGAGTCTGTTCCAACCCACAGCCACCCTGTATAGGGTTTCCGAGGAGGGGCTGGTGAGCTTAAACTGCTGACCTTGCAGTTCAAACTGACTTTGCAGTCTAGCACATTAACGCACAGTGCCAGACCATTAACACTACAGCACCATTATTCTGCCTATGTTATCTACTGCAAATATTTCCCCAAGACTGTCATTCCTCTTTGCTTCTGCTAGTTTTGACCATGCAAGTATTTTTAATTTTATATAATTGAATTTATCAATCTATTCTTACATAAGTTCTGGGTTTCTGAGTGGCAGGTTATCAAAATTTCTATTCCAAGGTTTCTTTTGGTATGGTTGCAACTTTATTTTGTGTTCATGTAAATTTACAATTCATCTGGAAATTTATCCTTAAGTTAAGATGTTAGGTATGAATCTAATTTTACTTTTTCCAAATGGCTATCCAGTTGCCTAGACAGCATTTACACCATCTTTACCATATATCAAATTATATTTGAGCCTACTGCTAACCTTTCTATTCTGTTCAACTACTATCATTATGTTGATATTGTTGTTAAATTCTGTAGAGTCATTTCCAACCCATAGCTACCTAGTATAGGGTTTCTGAAGAGCACTTTGTGAGCTTGAACCACAGACTTTGTGATTCAAATTGACTTTGCAGTCTAGCACATTAATCCACAGCACCACACAAGAACTCCATTTATTATTATAGTATATTACATAACCCTTCCCACTATTCTTTTTAGAATTTTCCAGATTTTAATTTTGTTTCTTTTTAGACACATTTTAAAAAATAAAGTTTATATAGTTACAACCATTTCCAAGAAAATTCTTCTTCCAACTCCACTGTGAGAAAATTCTTATTGGAAGATACACGGAGACCACACTAAAGAATAATTTAGGGGGAAATGAACATCTTTATGATGTTGAGATGTCCTAACCAAGACTATGATATGCTTTTCAATTTGTTTCAACATTCCCCCAGCAGCAATACAAAATTTGTTAAGCTTATTCCAAGCTATCATAATTTAAATATTATTGAATCTTTTATGGGCAACTGATTATTAATTTCAGATTCATTTTGTTTCTCTTATTATTTGTTTGTTATGTATTTGATTATCTTGAATTTTCATCTTAATTTGCTGTTTCTTACTTCTTAACTGCATTTTTTTTTTCAATCCTTTATTCTTCACTCCTTATTGAGAATAGTTAATTTGAAGCAGGGCTTCAAAACATCCATGGAAATGTTAAATGAAAAAATAACAGAAAAGGCAGCATTTACCTAAGGACAAAATTCACAAGGGTTGGGAAAGTAGGTGAAATGCAAACAAGAATCACAGGAAATGAGAGAACTGATGTTACATTGTGTTATCCCAATCATTAAAATGAAACAAAATAGATGATTTATTGAATGTAAGGCTGATGATCTGCTCTGTAAACCTTTACTTAATTCACAATTAAATTTTAAAAGGAATTTTCCACAAACTTTTTGAAGTTCCCCGGGGGGTGGGGGTAGAGAGAGAGAGAGGGAGAGAGGGGGAAAGGGAGAGAGGGAGGGAGAGAGAGACAGAGAGAGAGAGAGAGAGAGAGAGAGAGAGAGAGAGAGAGAAAACACGAACAGTTCTGAAGGAAACACACCTGCACATAAACAGGAATTGACATGTTTCAGGAACCCAAGTTCCTGGAAATTTTATCAACTCCAGTGCTTAGGGTGGCGACATTCTCTGATTGTGGATATCCTCATTTCAAAATCAACTTCTCCAAAACTGTGGTCATTTGATTACTGTTCAGTTGCTGAAAGCAACTTTTCAAAAGAATTAAATGAATATGTATAATAGTTACGAAGACAGGGCTGTCTTCTAAGTGAATATGTCTGCCAGGTCTACAACACAGAAGATGATGAAATTATAAACCTTCTAAACTTCACATTTACAAGTGCTACTGTGATGTAGTGTAGTATCTGATGTTTTTTCTAACCATAGTCTATAATTACCAACAAACAACATTTCTGCCCTGCTGAGTCTGGGTAGGGGAAGGTAGAAGACACCGACACGATGACGTGATTCAGCTGTGGATGTTAGCAGAATTACTATAATTGTAAAAACTTGAACCTCTAGCATGAGTTTAAAAAGAGCCATTTCAGAAGCTGGAGTGGGGAATCCCACGAACATGAAAGAAGAAAAGCCAGAAGTAGAGTGCATCCTTTGGATCCCAAGATCCACGTTCACTGACCTCCTTGACCCAGGGACAAAAAGCTATTACAACAGAACCAAGAACCAGAGCTTGAGGCAGAACAGAGGACTTCCTAGTCCACGGATCAAGTAAAGCTGAGTGACTTTGAGCACGAAGCTTGCTTGTACAGTGGGTGTCTCCATGCACTTAAGTCGGGGAGCTAGGTCTGCGAACCCATGGAGGTAGAACGAAGCCCTTTTAGGCTTAGGTTTATTGTGGAGTGGTGTGTCTTGTGGGCATTTATCAGTGGCTGACTGGAGTAACTGGGTCCTGCGCATTTTGGACCCAAATTGTAACCTGTTAAACTTCCGTAATAAACCCCATAACTGCGAGTATTATCTTTTTGAGTTCTGTGTGGCCATCGCAATGGATTACTGAACCCACTGGAGTAGAGAGGGTTGTAAGGGGAATGCTCGTTGCATCAAAAACTTTTGTAATTACTCTGTATAGTAACAAATTAATTTTTAAAAAAACTGGTCTCCTTGTATTTAAAATTCAATATAAAACAAAACAAAACACCTTCATTCCTCCTGTAATCCATTTGTTTTTGTTAAGTG